TTAAGATTGACGGTTTTTCCTTTAACCTAAGAGAACTTTTCAGATAGCTATAAATTAAGTCCAAACAACTTAATATGTTAGTATGCTAATCTGTACATAACAGAGCCATTATTTCTTTAGGCCTAGAGTGTAATAAAATGTTATATGTTAATGATTCATGAACTGAAAAAAAAATTGGGAATATTGCCCAATGGAGCACTACCCTAAGTCCTGTTGCTTTCCAAACCTCCTTTCACTCTAGCCCAGGCACACAAGCCTGGCTTGTTGCCACACATACTGTGTGCTGCAGCCTCTAAGCCTTCGGTTGTTTTCTCTACTGAAATGCTTTTTCTTTCTAGTGCTGGCATGGCAGACTTTCTACAAGTCTTGCAGATGTTGCATTTTCAAGGATGTTTCCTGTGTCCACTTTATCCATAAATACACCCACCTTAACCCCGAATTGAGATTTCTGCCCCCTCTTGGTTGCTTTATTACTATAGCAAATACTGCTTTCAAGTGTATATCATTTACTTGTTGATTTTATAGTGTGTTTTTACTGAAGTCTTCCAGGTACCTGAAACATTACCTGGAGCATCATAAGGAATGTGATAAACAATTGTCAAATCAGCAAAGTTGGACATAGCAGACGATGGGTAGTAATAGCAAAATGATTAGCAGTTTGGCATATAGACTTGGGTGCTGGAGGTCCATTGTTCATACTCAGCCCCATTACCCCAACTGGAGGTAACCGGTGCTCCTGGAGGTGCATGGTGCTACTGGAGGTACATGGCAGTTCTAAATGAGTTCTTGTTTACATTGATGTGAATATTAAATTCTGTACCATCAACTGTGTGCCTTAGAAACAAATGCAGTAGATAATCATGGCCAACAAGATTGCTTTTCTCAGATGCAATTTGTGCTTTTGACTTTGCATGTATCTCATGATGCTCTTAAAACTCTTCTTGACTGACTTCATCCAAGAAAACTGCATTTGCATTGGCTTTCTGGTCTGTCCCAGGGCTCTGTGTTTGTCTATTCCTTCAACCTGAAATTGTGAAAGTGGTCATGGCAGACCCTCCAGAGCTGAAGGCATTGCTGCTCACTCTTTGGGGTTCTATATCTGTTACCCTCTGCTGATGTCATTTTATTATTGGTGAATTAGAAAGACAGTGACAAGTGTCATTATTGAGAACAAAGCATCGAATGGGGTAGAAAGCAGAGCTTGGTGTGGGGGCTGTGTGAGTGAGGAGAGAGGGTCAATGGTACGACATGTAGAAAAGGCATGGCTGTATTTATGTGTGTCGCCAGCATGAGGGGTACGGTAGAAGATAACTAAAAGGGAAATAATCGTCTCCTGCTTATGTTGGACCTTGAATATCATACTGTAGAATAAGAATTTTTATCTCCATTAGGAGTTGTATAAAGTAGGCATATTATCACATTTGTAGTGACAGTATGCAGGCCAGGAAGAATGAAAAAGCACAGAAAAGATTTTGTGCCTAGAGGGCAGTAGAGAAGAATCAGTTTATCACAGGCAACTGAAAGTCTTGATAAAACTATAGAAAAATAGCAGAAATACAAAATAAATCACAGAAGCAAATCAAAACAAGTCCTGAAGGAATCCGACTGTGACAGTTGATAAGGAACAGCATTACTGCTACTCTTTACGTTTAGAGCAAACATTTCTGGAAATAAGTTTGCCAGATAAAATATTGAATGTTCAATTAAAATTGATTTCAGATATTTTTAGTATAAATGTGTTCTGTGCATTATATGGTATTTGCATGTATGCAAAACACTATTTTGCGTTTATGTAAAATTCAGATACCTGGCTGTTTCATTCTTTGTCTTTTTTTTTTTTTTTTCGGTCTTTTTGAGACAGGGTCTCCCTGTAGCTCCAGCTGTCCTAGAACTCACTATGTAGACCAGGCTGGTCTTGAACTCACAGAGATCCACCTGCCTCTGCCTCCCAAGTGCTGGGATTAAAGGCATGCGCCACCACGCCTGGCCCTCTGTCTTATTTTTAAATCTGGTCATCAAATGCATGAAAAGGTTGTGAGAAGGAGCACACTCTATGATTTGATTCCTCAATGGATTGTGGAGCATTTTGGTGAAATAATTGCTACATGTACGTGTGGGAAACACAAGCCCTACTGAAGCATGTCCTAGAGTAGTGGTGGTGGGGAGGGGGGACATTGATGTGACTGGTAGAAATTTACTTCTATGACATACTAAAGAAAAACAGGGAAATAAAGCTAAATTATAGAGAAGGCTGACATCTAAGCCACTGAAATCATCTAATACTCAACAGACTACAGGGACAATGTCTTGTGTATTCAGGGAAACAAAATGGGGTGTTATCTCCCCCAGAGGGCTCATCCAGTGTACTCTATCAAGTGTGAACAAGGCTGCATTGCGTTTTATTCCCTTCATGTAAAGTGGCCCTTGTGTTCTGGCTCCTGTTTCTATTGGGGCTGAAAAAGTATTACAGAAACCCCTACAGTAAACATGGATTGAGAATGTGAGGTCATAGTAACATGACCTCACAGAGTCAGATCCTAGAAGACTGGTAGATGAACAGAATCTGAGCTAGAAGAGTAGGAAGGAGAAGGAGCTTTGAGAACTATGGCCCAGGCATGCCGTAGCAGTTGCGATGGGTAATTTGTCGTATCTACGTTATTTCTGGTGAGTTGGTATTGCCTTCATATGTAAGGATTTCTGATTTAAAAGGAACATTTTCTGTTTCATTCAAGTAATTTCACAAGCTGTGGAACAGAACAGAATGACAATATCTAGGAAGGAAAGAAGGTGTTTACCCTCACTTTGTTCCTTGTTTTCTCCTTTTAATGTTTTTAATTGTTTTAAAAGAAGACCCAGAGAACTCTGATGTACATAGGTCTTTAAGTGACACCCTTCTGATTGATGTGAGGAAGGCGAGGTGAAGTCAGCGGGGCAGGGTAGGGGAGTAGAAGGAAGAGGCAAATGTGTGAAATGAGGGCTGTGAGAAAACAGTCAGGAGTTTATGTAGTCACATTTTCAAATATGTATTTGTTGTATTTGAATAAAATGAGTTCACTACAATATGTCCAGTAATTAGACTGTATTGTTTGCATTGAGCAATTAAATATAAGCCATGAACACGCCCTGAGAAATTAGTAGTGTAGGTGTAAAAAAAAATTCTTTGTTTTACATTTGCTTTTTACTACATTGTAACCATTATATAGAAAAAGTAAATATGTGGAAACCAGAGGCAGGGTGGGGGGGGAGGCAGGAAAGAAAGGAAAATAAACTTACTTTGTTGTAACTAGCAGATTTTAGAGTATATATTTTATATCCTGTTGATTTAGTAACAAAAACCTGTTTCCTTTTGTATGGAATTTCTGTGTTTATTTATATAAATATGCTAAAGTTAGTCATTAAATATAAAGCTTCTAACAAAATGGTTGGCAGTTTTAACTTTATAGGTAGGCTCAAGATGAAAACATTTTCCTGTAGAGTTTATCATAATGAAGCAATTTGTTGTTACTAGTAGATGTTTTCTGTTGGAAATTGAACATGACATTGTTTAAGGAGGGTTACCATGAGTCCTGGTGTGTATACTCCAGTTTCTGATTGTTTGCTATTGACAGTGGTTTGCTAGTAGACTTGAAGATTTTAGAAAATGAAGTATTACTACTGATTGAGGGAAAACAGCCAGCAGGGATTTGGTTACCTCCATTTTATACTCTGAACTTCTTCCATGGTCTCCTCTGGGAACATGTGAGGTGACATGTTCACTGAAACAAATTTCATATAGTTGAATCCGGAAGGCAGTCTTGGATAATAGCTTGTGCCTCTTTCCCCTATGCTTTATATAAAAAAAAACATTATTTTTATTTTATATGTACGAGTGTATTGCCTGCATGTGAGTGCACCCGTGTCATGCAATGCCGTGGAGGTAAGAAGAGGGCTTCACATTCCCCTGGAGCTGGAGTTAAGGATGGTTCATAGCTGCCATGTGGGTGCTGGGAATAGAACCCGGGTCCTCTGCAAGAGCAGTCAGTGCTGTTAACCGCCGAGCCATCTCTTCAGCCCTCTTTTCCTACTCTTATACCGTGAAGAAGTGTGCTTGTGGAGGAGTTGTCTTTTAAGGAAAACAACTGTCAATATTACTAGCCAGTAGTTAAATTTAAGCTTTTGCTCAAAAATTAAATTTTGGAAAATAAAAGTAGGGTATGCTATTGCAGGCCTTTAATCTCAGCAGCTGGGAGGCAGAGGCAGGAGGATCTCTGTGCATTTGAGACCAGCCTTGTCGACATAGTGAGTTCCAAGCCAGGTGGGGCTATATAGTGACACCCTGTCTCAAATAAATAAATAATTTAGTTTTTAAAAATTAGGGAAATGATATCTCCCCCC